GAAAACTTTTTGTATATGTTTATTGTAATTTATAATTTACACTATAAATTAAACTAAGAAGTGAATTATTTTAAATATTATTATGCAATAATCGTAACAAATATTTGAAAAATAAGCTAAAAGAGCGTTGTTTTGTTAACAATGTAGTGACTACATGCTAAAAAAATATACAATAAAATAAAAATGTATGAACATATAAAAACAGGTAAAAGTTCAGAGATGCCGAATATTATATACGCACCAACACAAGACGTTTTACCAAGATTTGCTCATTTATTAGATTTATGCTCAAATTTTATATCGTGTATAGATTTTATTTTCGGAATAGGATTTTAATGGTTTGGATCACGGACCGAGCTCTAAGAAGGATGTTTTAAAACAAATCATTTTTTCGAATGTATCATAATACTAAAATGTTTTAATAATTTATTGAGAATAAATTTATTTTCTGAAAGAGGATTTATATAGAGGAGAAATTACAAACTAGCGTATTTGAATATAACCCCCATAATTCATTTGTCACATTAACATTTATATTGTTTCCTAAAAGCTCTTAGAAGTATGAGTAATAAACCTGACATTTATTCACCGAGATTTAAGATTATTTCAACTGAATTTTCAATATTTTTGCAATAATAATACCTTTGCTAAAGTGTTGTGAATATGACCCATAAAATTGTTTATATAAAAAATAACTAAAACTATAAATATAAAATTTTTTCTTCCGAATTTAACCCTTTTTTAGCATTTTTTTAATGATTAATTAAAAGATTTGACGTCCTAGATTTTTTAAATACATACTTTTTCTGGTCTTAGACGTCCTAAACAAAGAAAACCATATAGGTTTTATATCCTAAACAAAATCGTTGTTACCTAGTGTTATTTGTTATTTAATATACATATATATGTATATACTTATTCTTAGGGGCATTAAACAAATTTTCGAACAGGTTTTGTACCTTACCCTTTCCGATTTTGATAAAACTTGGTACACACATTCTTTGTATCAATACGAAGTTTAAAGTTCTTCAAAATTTATTACGGTTTAGATTTTATCAAGGTTCAAAGCTCAAATTTTTTAAATTTTTTTCAACAAGCATTAAATTTGACATCGTATATTTTATAAAATATTTATCGTTTTAGTTCCTAATTTGTTGACTCAAGCGGTAAGTTTTTTAATTGTGAAAAAACTCACATGTATATATGTGGTGTGAGTTTTTTTTAAATATAAAAATTTCAGAATGGGACAATGAGGGGATCTCAAGTAAATCAACTTTTAGTAAAATAATTCACATCATTTCCATACAAATTTCAAAAATTTTAATTTTTTGTTCATAAACAATTTAATTTTTGTTTCAAATTCTAAAACTTTTTTGTGTTCATCATCAAATAAAACATTAAATTTTTAAATATCTTGAATATTATCAAGCTACAAGACATAGGCTTTCATTGGGAACTAAACTAATTTGAAAATTTTGGGGAACTTTAAATTCCGTATTTACATGAAGAATGTGTGTACCGAATTTCATCGAAATCGGGGAGGGTCATGTTCAAAATCCTACTTTTTTATTTGAATTTTTTTTTTTAAATTACCCCTCATCGATTTTGTAAAGGGATATTTGAAATTTGAAATAGTCTTTTGCATTTTCGTTGAATTATGTGAAAAATTGCGACCTGTACATTACCTGGGCAGCCAGCCGCACAGACGGGTAAACCTGGCTTAATGGACTTTTAAAAACTTGATTTGAATTTAGCACTTTTTTCAACGAATTTGCACTTTTTTGACCGTCATTTTGCATTTTATTCTGAGGAAGTTCTGGCAACACTGCTTGGAAGTATTTTCTTGCATCGCATCGCAGTTCTGCACAGTTTAATGAGATACACTCCTGTTTGGAAGAACTATTTATTGAAATAGTCCTCTGATGTCTCTTCGAGCTTATTGAGAACATTGTGGTTGTAATAAAATTTTCTTTCTAAACTCGGACGAGAGTTATTATAATTATTTCAAACTTCTTTTAAATTGCTCCACTTGTTTTTCCCCCGCTGTACCAGTCTAGAAGTTTGTCTAGTTTATTTCATGGTACTTCGAACCGGATATCAAATATTTACACGAATTCTTATCTCATGCCGAATGCTGTCAAATGTGCCGAATAGTACAAACTGAATTTTATGTATTTAGACTCAAGTATCTTTTTTATAAAAAACACATCTCAAGATATAGCTCAAAAGTATTTGACACACGGCTTTGAGTGGAAATTTATTCCCCCGCCGTAAAAAGTTTCAAATTTCATTTAAAACGAATTACTGGTGCCCAACAATTCACATTCTAACTCGAATTGAAGGCGTACTAAACTCTTGCCCAATCTCAGCTCTATGTGAAGACCCTTCAGATTTAACTGTCTAACCCTAGGACATTTCCTAAGAGAAGCCCCTCTAATGGCTCTCCCTGAACAAGAATTTCAGAATATATGTCCTATTAATAGGTAGGAAAAATTTAAAGCAATGCATCATCAATTCTCTATACCTTGCAATAATGATTATCTTAAAACTTCACACAAACAGTATAAAAGGAAAAAATCTACTGCAAATCTTAAAATCGGAGATCTCGTCGTAGTAATGGACGATCTTCGGCCGCCTTACGAATGGCGTCTAGGGAGAACGAGAAAACTTATTTTGGTACAGATAATAATGTACGCGTTGCCGAAGTAAGAATAAGCTCAGAAATCATTACTCGGCCCATCGTCAAATTATGTTAATAACCCTTTTTAAGTGAAATCATGATTTAAATTAAAATTTTAATCTCATTTACAAAAGATCAACCCCTTTTAATACACTTTAATTACTATAATACTCCATTTACTAATCTCTGAATAACATTTCTCATTTTTACATTTACACTTAACTATCCTTCACATTTCCCAGCACTAATCCACTTAAATATTGTTTTGTCAGTTACTTACACTTTGTTTACGCCCACCTAGATCTAACCGAAGACTAACCGCAACCCGGCCAAGCGAAGACATAAATAATAATGAGTCCCGCAGCGACACTACTCATCCAAGCGAAAGCCGCAGTCGAAGTCTCAGCCTTCACCGCACAACAACTGTCAGACGTTCTAGCCATCACAGCGGAACCCCAGCATCGAGTCCAAGTGAAAGCCACAGTCAGCGGCATAGTCGAAACCACCAAAGTCACCTTAACATCCGCCGAGACCCGAGAAGTTATCAGTGTATACTTTGCTAAATATTCCATTCGTTGAGGTTCTGTCCTAAGTTCCAAGACATGAGCGTAATGAGAAGAATATAAGTGGTAAAAAGCCAAACGAATGGTCGAAAAGCCAAACGACATTCCCAGAAACTTTTCTGTGAACAGGTAGATAGCGTAAATGATTTGAAATTTTACCGGCACTTTTGCAGATGGAGGCGGGTCTGGTTTCCGTACATCTGTCACAGATTTTCACTACATGCTTGAAATTCACATACACACCAATTAAACGGCAGGATGCAAGGGAAATATTTATAACCAAACCAGGAAAACTTAGCTACGCGACACCTAAGTCCTATCGACCGATAATCCTTACGTCCTTCCTACTTAAAAACTTGGAAGGGATAGTCGATAGTATGGTTAAAAGCAGTATACCAGACAAAGACCTCAAATATAAGAAGCATGTTTATATGAATGGACGATCAGTGGAAACCGCATTGAACGTAGTTGTCCACTACATAGGTGAATCCTTCGATAGCAAACTGTATATACTTACTGGCGGCATGTACTGACATCGAAGACGCATTTAATAGCGTGCACACTGATACTCTTATCCAATCCTTAGACCAGTTTTATGTAAACTGGGTGATCCGTAACTGGATCAACTACAAGCTAAGGAACAGATGGGGTATTTCGTGGCATTTTGCCTCCTTTACTCTGGGTTACCACGATCAATAGCTTCCTAAGGCCCCCAACGGAGAAAGGTCTTAGACCTGTATGCTATGCAATACTTCTAAGGGAAAAGGATCTAAATTACTTGTGTAGAAGAGCTGAGGAGGCTCTGAATACGGCCTTGAGCTGGGATCAAGCGAGAGACCTGAATAATAACCCGGCGAAGTTGGAAAACTGTTTTTCACACGAAAGACAAAAATTTCTAAGTACACATACCAGGCACAGAATATGACGGAAACATTGAAACACTGATCCCAGATAGAATGTCTTGATCAAGCGGAACATTAGATTGTAAGAAAGCTTTAAATAAATACTTTTCTTGAGGTAAGATTTGCATCATTCCTTCTATCAACCTAACCATCTCCAATTTTTCTATTTCTAAATTTGCAATGCAATTATTATGGTTTAGCTCAACTCTCATCCTGAAATTCTTATCGGTACGTAGACTTCGATTTTCAAGATTATAAGCCAATTTGTTTTATAATCTTGAAATTTTTGTCTTTTTTGGTTTCTATATATAATCGTGCCGTAATAACTTGATATCACGTAGGTTTATTTGTAACTAGTTATTTCGCTAACCTCATCGCACAAAATTAATTAGTTATTCAACACAAAAATAATTAGTTTCTGCTTGTATCCAATATTACATTCTGGCTTACTAACGGTTACAGGACGGTTAAGGACAAATTCCAACATATATATGCATGTATATATGTATTTGGAAATAGTAAATAGAACTGAAATAAGAAAAATGCAAATTAGTAAAATCTTCTTTATTTGTTTCTATTTATTTTTTTTATAGATTTTTTTTATTTGTATCATCATACCTCATCGTGAGTAAAAGTTGATATGATGTGTTTGTGTGTGTTTTTTACTAATTATTCTTGTTTGTTTGAAATTTGGCACACTATTTTTAAAAGTAAAACGTTTAAAATTTACTCAAAATATGTATGTATTTTTTTTTATAAATTTTCAACTACTAGTTTCGTAAATATATTTTTTAAATTCAATAATTTATTAGTTTTTTTATTACAATCATTTGTAATCCTTTGTTATTTATTTTATTAAAAATGCTTTTATTGTTTTTATTCGTCTTGTGTTTTTCATTTAATTATATTTTTAATCAAATAGACGTAATCACTAAATAACATTAATATTTAATTTTTATTAAGATTAACAAAATATACTGTGAAACTATCAACCACATAATGTTGCATACACCCGAAGAATTTTTTAAATCAAATAAAATTGTCATCTTTTTTTAATATGTCAAAGAATATGTTATTATATATTAATAAAAGAGTAAGAGAAAAAAATATATATAATATTCCTCTCACACACAAAATCAAAAGTTTCTCAAAGAAGTGAACCGGCTCTAATCAACGAACTCAGAAACTACTGCACTTAATAGCACAAATTATAGTAAATTTCATATGACATTAGTAGTGGTTGAGTGGTATTGTTGAGTGTGAAACGTTTCTTATGTGTCGGTTATGTATGACAACCAAACATCAGTTGACAAAGTTAAATTTCAGGTGGCAACTGACAGCTACAGTTTCTGAAATATCAATCGTAATTTTTTAAATACGATTGATTTGAGCAATTCCCGAACTTATGTACATATGTCACTGTCTTGAAACTTTTAAAATTGACTTCCAATGCATTTTTAAATAGGTTAGGTTATTCAAATAAAATCCGATGAACATGAGAAAATGCTAATTCGAAGTATTACCGGTTTTGTGAGGACAAAGGTGAGTTAGGAACTATAGAGTTATTTTCATCGTTAGCTGCAAGTCTGAGTATACTTTTTTGTCCATTATATAAAAGTCGCTGAATGGGAGATATCATGGCATTTAGAATAGTTGCTTCTATTGTCTTATGGTTAGGATGTATCCCCTTAATAGAATGAACTGTCAAAGGAACCACAGATAACACATTATTGGTTGTCATTTATAATCGACCCACAAGACTTATGTATATTTTCGCCTTTAATTTAAAATCACATATCACACACACATCAAATGACGTAAAATATTCTAAGCCATTCTTCTCAAAACAATACAGTGTACGCGGTTGTCAGATCTTACAACGTTGGCAGAAAATTTTTCAGCAAATGTCTAACAATCGTGTGAATTTAAAATTTTTGTTTTGAAACGTTGTCGAACAAAAATTGTAAGTTGACACGATTGTTAGACATTTTCTGAAAATCTTTCTGACAACATTGTAAGATCTAACAATCGTGTATACATAGTTTTACTAATGTTAGTCTTTAAATTATTAATGCTTTTAATTAAAAATCTTCTGAATGAGATCAACTGGAAATGAAATAATCCATTTCACTTTTTTAGCCCCTTTGGTTATTTTGGCCTACTGATGGTCTACTTTCATTTCCCGTCGGGAAAGATTTTCTGGTTGCACAGTGTTATATAATTTTATTAATATTTGAGAAGCATTCTGTATAGAAATGCTTCGCTTGAAACGTTTAACTGTCCTTTACGAGAGCTGAGATCTGGAATAAATCATGGGTTACAGTACAGATTTGGAATCAAGGCAAGAAGACTTTGTGAAAAAGTTGGTAGCATAAGTATAATATAGAACATATTTAATAATGTATATCTAAAACCCATGTCCAGCTGAATTAATTGTAGAAGCTTGAAGGATTCTCATTTCTCCTTGGTATAACGATAATGGGAGAAGGGAAGCCTAACAGAGACTAGCAACAACTAGCATGGTCAAGGGGATAATCAAGAGTTTGGTAACATACAAAGATATGGAACCGGTTAGATTTTTAGCCGGTAAATCAGAAAAATTCTGATTTAATTTCAAAATATCTGCATGCTCCGAATCACATATACTCCGCTCAGATGACGGGTTGCTAGGGTTGTATTCATTTTCAAACTTGGAAAGTCGAGCAAAGTCCTATCGTTCGATTATCTTAACATTTTTTCTACTTAATATGTACTTTGGAACTGATAGTCTATGACATGTCAAAAATAGAATATAAAACAGACCTTAATTAGAAGCAATATGCTTATGTTATTCTATCAGAAAAATTAAATTTCTCGATGCACCACAAGGTGGAAAAACACGATTAATAACATCCTCTGTTACGCTGACGATTTCGTAATACTTCAAAGGGGCGCGGATCAAAATTATTTGTGCAGAAGTGCTGAGAAGGGCCTAAAAACTGCTTTATACTATGACACACAAACTTACACTTCAAAAATCTGATAAACTTGGAAACAAAGTTAATATACTTAACAGAAAATGTCGCAGGCGAGTGGCTTTGATATCTAGACGAATTGATAAAAGGCGGATATAGGTTTCGTCATTATTTGATGGGCTAGACTAAACCCCAATGAAATACTGTAGGCTGAAGTTGTCGTAAATTCTGGGACACTGCTGATATTTTATATCATGTTCAATTGGAACCTAATAGTTAACACCCGTGAAAATTATATGGATTCACAAACAGATCTAAACAAACAGATAGAATGGTTGTTTGGATCTACATTGAAAAAAAATATAAAACGATATATATACTATTTTAGAGATCAAGGCGGAAGTCTGTAATAATAAGGAATATGAAATATCATATGAGCACCAAGCTCATATGAATTTCATAGAATATACGGTAACTAATACAATTGCCGTTAAGAGGAAGGAATTTAAGGAAGTTAACCTGATAATTGCAAAACCTTTCTATGATTTAAAAGAGAGAATCTCGCTCTACCACGTGGAATAAGGGATAGATGGGTAAGACCACAAAAATGTTATTAGGTTATCCCAATGAAAAATCTCCACAGTAGGAGTAAGTCCGAAGTTTATTTGATGGCATGTATTCTGACTGGATAGTTATACAAGAATACGACCACAACTTCAGCAATTTAGATGAGCGGAATCTGACGAAATGTAAATCATACAGTGAGGATAGTGATACGCAGGAACACTTTCTCTATCATTGTCAAATCTTTCTCGAAATTAGACCCAAATATCTTGGGATCGATGTTATACGAGATATAACATCCCTCAGCAGTATTGATTGAAAATTTAAAAGTTAATATTTAACGTTATTTACCCTGCGGTATTTTTTATTTATTTATATTAAGATCTTTAAGGTGATCAAAACTGTATAAAAAACTTTTTAGTCACAATATAGGTAATTCAATTCTATAAAAATTATTTCCTCGAAATAAGGATACATAAGCTAATATAAATCAGTTTCATTGACAAAAATATTTTTCTAAGAAAATTATTTATTATCACAATTATTAAATTTAATTTTCAAAAAATTTATAGTTCCGTTTTATATTTTAACTAAAAACATTCATACATAAATATATGTATACATATGTATATATGTATGAATGTTATACGCCAAAAATATTTAAATTCAAAAATGTGTATGTTTTAATGTTTATTTTATTATTAGAATTTGTTATAAATTAAAAGGACATTATTTCTTTCAAAAGATGACAATTTTACAAATTTTTTTGCGAATTAAAAACATTTTATAACTAACAAAATAACTTAAAACAAATTGTTAATAATAATTATAATTTTTTAAAATACCATGATTTACACAATACATTCCGTGAATATTAGTATTTTGTATAAAAATAAAATATGTATATAATAAACTTAAACTAAATTTTACTAATATGTTTCTATTAAACAAAACAATTTTAGCGCAGGAAATTAAAATTAATTCCGACAATAGTGAAATAGAGTGAAATAAAATCGGTAAAAATTATCACAAACATACATAGTATGTAATGAATATTTCGTTTACATTGTACTTTATTTATATATCGCTCATTTACTACAAGTCTCACATAATCCATTCAACTGATTACTAGAGAATATGTGTTATATTAAAGTCATTCATAGTTTTGTCCCAAATTTTAACGTATATTTGATAATTATTATAATACTACGTTCACACAAAAAAATGCAATATAAATGAATTGTTTTTTACCTTGCGAAACGAAGTTGTTCACTATATAGCAAACTGAATGCACTGGCGGTATGCATTGACATCGAAGGCGACTTCAACTAGTCCTTAGACTAGTTTTATGTTGACCGGGTGCTCCGTACATAAATCAACTACATGCTATGGTATAGATGGATAAGCTGCGAGATGTACGATATAACTATAAGGAAACGGTTATTTCGCGGAATCCTGTTTCCTGGGCAAGATGATACCCTGGCAAGAAGACACAGAAACTTTGAAACACTGATCCCAGATAGATTGTTTTCGTCAAGCGGAATATTATAGCAAATGCCAGTAGGTTGCATTGCACGTTACTACACGGATGGCTTTAAATTGGGGCTAGGGTTCTATATTGACGACCCCGAAACGGAAATATACCATCGATTATCTAATCCCAACTTTAGCTTCCAGCTAGAGGTCCGAGCTATAACGGTGTGCGTAAATTGGATTATAATAAATATGGCGCCCACAGGACGTATTTACCGACAGCCAGAAGGCAGTTAGGGCGTTATCAGATGTTAAAATTGAATCTAAGACCGTATTGGATTGTAATAAAGCTTTAACTGAATACTCTTCCAGAGGTAAGGTTTACATCATATGGGTACCTGGTCATCATGAGTAGTCGGCAACGAAAAAGAGATTATAATAGCTTTAAGGCAGCGAAATGCAACGAGCTCTCGAATGAGCTCTGTTGTATTATTTTTTCACGCGTACGTATACTTACACACCACCAAAGCGTTTTGAGTAAATATTGTTGATTTGGGCACAAATTTTTGGCAAATCTACTACTTGAATTTGATTAACATGACGAAAATGGATTGTTTTCCAACAAGATTTGATTATGCAACTCTGAGTAGGGTCTATGATAAACAAATACATTCATGAGCTATACATTCAAATTGAATGTTTTCATAAAAAAATTTAAAGAGAACAAATTATAGATTTTAATATAACAAGTTGTTATTATATATTTTTAATGTGTAATTTTAAAATAATATGATAGAATAGGTTTCCGCAAAACTAGATCATTTCAAGCCAGTGGAAACATATTTATGTATATTAATTTATTATAGTACACATTTACAGCTTAATAACTCAAATAATCAAATTATAATATTTTTAAAACATTTTTAAAATCTATTCAAAGTAGCTGTGACTGAGTTTAGTAATGGCCGTTCGTGAGCTGGACCGATTTCATTAAAAAGAGATGGCATTAAAAAGGACATTCTTTCCCCTTATAAATTATATGTAAAATATTAAAATATTTCGGAAAGTTATGCACTCTTGTTTATGGGTCTCCAAAGATTTAATACTCAATGTAATTTCTGCAAAAAGTGGTAATTTTTTCAGGATTTAGATTTATTTTAAAACAGGTAAAAAATTTATAGTCGGACATACCAATAACATAAACCAATGATTTTCGAAAGATTTAGAATTGCACTAGATCCGAAAAATACAGATTTTCACAGAATTTAATTAATATTTAAATTTGTATTTAATTACATAAACAGCGTATGAACCAAACTTATTCCACTTTAAAAAATGTAAAGTGATTTTATTTCGATGAAAAAAATTACTAAAATAATTCCACTTTCGATCAAAGTAGAAGGTCCAGCTCATGAAGGAATACGCTAGACTCAAAATATTTTGGAAATCATTATAAAACAAATCAAGCTAAACTTTGAGCAGGGTAAACAAAATATTTTTTCGAAATATTTAAGGCATTTTTAAAAAAATCGATTAAGTTCATTTCCGAAACTAAGTATTTTTTGTCAATGGACGCTATTCTTGCAAGAAATATAAGATCCCAAAATCGTACTATTATCACATTTTGTTTTATGTTGGATAAAGAAACAAGAAAACACCTTTAAACTACATATTTCACGGAATGTATTAATTACATACGACGTACCTACATATGTAAATATGTATTTACATGGTGTGTATGTATGCACTATGTAAACTACTACATAAATATTATATATTAATTGACATACTTATACAATGAAAATGACTAAATTTGTTATTTTCTGTTCTATAAGTAAATTCTTATGTAAATAACTAAATGAGATAAATTAAACAATTGTTACATAGTTATAGTCAAGTATGTATGTGAGTGCATATTTAGATATATAAATAAATATGTACACACATACAAGTAATTATTGTTTTCTTTATTTTTTTAATTGCATGTATACAGTATGGTGTAAAAATATAGGATTTAAATATTTCCCACAGTGTTTCTTTTAAAAGAAATAAAAAAAAAAATTTAATTTCATAAACATTTTGTGTGCATGTGTGCGTATTTCTATTATATTTTATTATTATTTCTAATATTATTTATGTAATTTTTCTCTTTACATTTATGTATAACGACATTATACCATACTGTAATAATGCATCTGTGTATGTATGTGTATAAGTTGGTGTATTATTTCATTCTCTTATTCTTTCATATCCTTTTCCTTTCTTTAATATTTTATTTAATTACGTTCTCTTTAAATACCAATACATACACCAAGGCTCAAAAATATAATGCTGTAACGAATTAGGTTAAAATAGAGGAATACTGAAATATTTCTTGCCTTATCATTTGCGTTGCAACGGTTCAAGAAAATGGACATACTTGCATGAACATTCTGTTCATAATCTCATTAACACTGTGAATTTAAATATCATCTGGCTCAATAATTTTTGATTTGTAAATTAAGAGCTGGCTTCTCTTCACTCAAATATCCAGAATAGAATCAAAGTGTACTAATTAGGTGGCAAACTTTGCCACATAATTCCCCCTCGCTTAGTCTTTCAACGCGCTTTGAAGAACATTGCGTTTCTGATTACAGGAACACCAGCGAAAGCATTATTAACCTATTAGATTGGTTACTAGGTAATTTGATGGCGATTCAACTGGCATTCCATGCAATTACGCTGAAGGTAGGAGACTCATGGACCGAAACGAACATTGGGCACTCTATGATATTGGCATCCCATTAAGCTATACACAGGAATATCGATTATTGCGCACGAAAACCTCTCTGCTATGAACAGTTAGATACCGACAAGGGACTTATCTGTAAAGGAATTCAGCAACCTCTCGGGCGCTACCGATGTATCTAGTCTGCCGAGACTATAAACTAGTGGTGTCAAATTATTCCAAGGAAAGGCCTTCCTTGGAATGATGTGACCCAGGGTCGAAACAGCCTGCTTTATAATTCGGTACCACGGTAACCGGTGGTTCACAGGGCAGAGTTTCTGACTTTGCCTTGTCCCAGTTATTATAGAGAAGACTTAAGCGTGCACGTGGTGGCTGTAGTTTAAACCCAAACTCGCGGGAAGAAAATATTGGTAAAAAAAACTGTTACACGAAAAGACTATATATCCCGCAGAGGATATAAACTGATGATGTCAAATATATCCTCGGTCTTTACTTAGAATGATTTGACATGGTGTCGAACCAGAGCACCACATAATCTGGTACTACGGGTGGCTAGTTGCCCGCAGGACTTGTCCTGTCTGGTCAGTTGGATGAGGTTCCTTCGGGATCCACGTAGTGGTCGTGGTTTAAACCCAAATTCGCGGGAAAGGGGTGCTTGGTTAAAAGATTGATACACCGTGAAATATAAACTTTCGGGATAAGTTTCTGTTACCGTTTCTTATTTCTAGGAGCGTAACAAACCACAGGGCAAGACTATGGATTAATAAAATGTTGGAATTGAGCTGATAATGCAAAGATTGGGTATGTTATGGAGTGAGATTCCATTCGGATACTTGTCTGATGGATCTGATGGACAAAGGATCCTGAGATGTATCTTTGGAGATGTCAGAATGACAGAAGGAGTGATGGTTAAAATGTTGGTAAAGTTGGTTGAGACGTTGTAGAGCTGTAATACCTTAATCTTTAATTTATCGGAGATTTTCCTTCATGGTTCAGTGTGTTCGAGGTTACTCTATGCATGCTCAACAGTAAGTCCTTGTGGCCACTTTTTTTTTGAACCACCAATTACATCCCCCAGATGCTGTTATCGATTCAACAGAAGCCATCTCAGTAGTGTGGTTGAGCGACTTTAAGAGGTCCAGGAATGCACTGGGGTAAGTCTTTAGATGATGAGAATGTTTGTGGGGACAGTGCATTCCTCATACCATCAATTGGGTGTTTTCACCTGATGTTGGGTCCGTCCTTCTATCGACTTTAACCATTGACTGCCTTCTCCTTTGTCGGTGTTAGATTGAGCTTGACTCATGACACCTGTCATTCCCCAACGGGACTACTATGGCAAGAGATTAGATAGCTCGAGTACTTGAGCAAAGTGCACTTATACTGGGCCGGAAATTTCATACACGTAAATTGTCACCTGAGTATAAAAAGCACAGCTGTTGAAAAAGACCACCGTAAAATAGGCCAACACGGTAGGTGTTCACGTATGAGTTCGTGTCAAGTGTATGTACATATGATATGGGATGGATATAGGGGTATAAAAGCCTCACCCATCAGTATTCCTAGAGTGAGTGTGTCGGATGAATTAGAAGTGTGCTGTGTTGAATGGTGATGGATGAAAGGTATCTTCTATAATTGATACCATTGAATTTTCCTTCCTTGTTCTGGTATGTTAAGGGTTTACAATAGTCATACCAGATTTTCCACAGTGTGTTCTTTGTGGATTTGATGGGCTCGTATTTCAGTCTACCGATTATGTCTGTTCTGTTGTCGAATCAACAGAGGACATCCCATCTGCGTGATTGTATACGGAAGTGATGTTTTTGAATGTCAGAAGTTAAACAACGGAGTAGCAATGGTCAGAGATTAGATAGCTAGAGTATTTGAGCAAAGTGCTTTGCATGGACCGGCAGAAACACAAGGGGCGGTGGTTAATCGTGTAATAAGGTGGTTGTAAAACTGTCACCGTGACCAAAAAGGCAGGTGTTCACGTGAAGCACTTCGACTTATATAGATAGAATAACGGTATACGATAAGAAAATATAAAACAGTAGTTGCATTCAACGACTATTTTAGAAGTTGTCATGATGAAGATGAAGAAGAGACGCTGTCCTACTTTACTCTATTATTGTAGAGTAGAAGATTATAATAACTCACACTGTGATCCTCTGGATTTTACAATAAAGCTGCTCATGGCTTCGTTATTTTCGCTTGTATCGAATACTCGTTAGTGTTGGTGCATACACCCAACGCAACTTAATTCCTCAAATTCTTAATAGTGGCCTCAGTATAGCGATGATATTTGACGTTCACAAACGATAATTGATGTGACAAAAATCATTCATTGTTCCAAACTTAAACAAAGTTCCAATATTTATCAAATTGTTTCACTTTAGATTATTTTGTTGTTCTACTTTTTTAAAATGTGTAAAAAGTGTTTTGAAGTGATTATATATTTTTTGAGCAATGGTATATGTCTGTATTCATCCCATTAAAATTTACATACATATGAACGAGCTTCAATTGGCCCAAGTAAAAAAATTCAAAAGAAAATCTAGGGTTTCTTTTATAAATGTTAATAATAAATATTTTGTGGTCCCTGATGTAGTTTAAATAAAAACAAAAATTAAATGTATATATTTATAATTCTAATAAAATATATTGATTTTCTTTTCATGAACGGATTATTTGAGATATACTATGTATATGTACTTGTTTTTTGTTTTGTTTTCTATTTTCTTTTTTAAAGTTATGAAAGAGATTTTAAAAATAAATAACAAAATTGATTTAGATAAAAAATTTGAATAAAAGTTTATCAGTAAATGTCTTGACAAAGATCTTAAAACCATAAAAAGATAAATTTTGTGAAAATTTTTTAAGTTTTAGAATTTTGCACACTACTTAATTAAAAGTAGTTCTATAGACATAATATAACATAGGAAACTTTGGACATGATAGTCGAAATGTTCAAAATCAGTAATAATTTTAAAATATAGTATTAATATCTAGATTGTTTGGTTTTAAGATAATTGATGTGACTTTTAGAGTTATAGTCAATTAAAGGGTTAAAATCGTAAACGGGCCTTAGGGTGTATGAGAGGTGGCCACTGTGAAAACCAAATTATAAACTACATAAGTAAGAAGATAATAAAACGATCGTAAGTATATATTTAACATACATATACATATTCAATAAATCTATATAAGTTATTAAAGCTTTCAGATTTCATTATACTAAAGTAGTTTTTTTTTTCTTAAAAATATAGGCTTTTTATCTTATCTTAAAGAGGTATTTACAATATACAAACACTTTAATGACTTTTATTCCGATATGGAACACTTTTTCTTGCATTAAATTGAAAAAATCAAATGTTTCTGAGATATTGGATAGCAATTAAAAAGAGTTAAATTGTCTTACTTAACTTTTATATATCAAGATATAACTTTCAGATTATTTTCTTTTTTGGCTCGCTAAAGTGAACCTTCTAGAGATGAACAGCGGGGCAGAAAAACGTTTTTTTAGAAATAAATTTATTATTACTAAACGGCTGACCCGATTGCGATAAAATTTGACATGGACGTAGCTAAGGAACATTTGAGTTTAAGTGCTCCTTTGCGTAAGTAAGAAAATGGATCCCACACAAAGTACCTTTAACATGTTAATGTTTTACATCCAGATTAAAAAATTTTTATATTTACTGAAAGTTCTTGGCTCGCGTGTGATATTTCACTCTTATAATTTTAGTTATAGGTTTTTGAAAATTAACATTTTGTAATTTTTAAATATCGGTATATCTTCGATAATTTTAAGATTATTTAGTAAAGTATTATCATCCTTACTCATTAACATTATTCCATTTTGTTGCAATAAAAAGGTGTTCATTATCTTAAATAATTCAAATCAGAATTTTAATATTAAGTAAACGCAGCATCACGTGAAAGTTAAAGACTTTAAATTTAATAAAATGTAAAAGTTATTTAATAACAGTATGAAAATGTTTAGACAATTGTATGCTCTATTTGATAATACATCAATAAGAGCTTATTTATATGACACTGATTTTTTTCTTAACAATTTAAATGCTTTTCATTCTATTCAAGTGTCAGTTTAAATTCATCGAACGTGTTTGCTTTTGTTTTTAACTGTAATCTTAAAACAAATTATACTATAATATAATTGTACCTTTCAATACTGTAAAATTGCTTTAATTTACTTTCTAAAATACTATTAACATAAGACTGTTTGTGTGTGTACTTGACTAGTTTTCAAAGTTTATCTTTATCACGATCAATACTCATTGCTTTGAATATACCACCCCTGCCAATTCCGTAACGTAAATTGAACTGGTCCAGACTGGATGCCCTTGGGCGTACAGTTGCTGGGGCTTGTTCTGCATCGGTTTCACTGCACTCGGTTTCGGTGTCACTGAATTTTCGACGTCTCCGTAAGTAGGTTCCGCTCAATTTTGTACAGCCCATCTGCAAATTATCGGAGAGTGAGAGACCACGCTTACGCTCTTGCTTTTCCATTTCTGCTGCCAGCATTCTAACTTCCCAGTCGTTGTGATGAACATGATTATCGGAGCTCTCATTGTCGTCATCCTCGTCGTCATCATCGACATTAAGTTTATCGGAGGATGAACTTGAACTTGTACTCTCGCCAATATCTAAGATGACACTGTCGCCAATGCGAGACAGATTTCCTTGTACATCGGCTAAAACAACTGGTTGATTTGTGGACCAATTGTTACCGTTTTTACTTTTTGTTCCATTGCCAGTCTTGCAGTAGTGACTATAATTCGATGCAGCGAAATCATCTCGACTCGTTTTCGGCGAACATGTACAATGTCGTTTCGCTTGTGTTGGAGGCGATGAAGTAAACACAGTGTCAAGTGAGTCCCCACGCTAGAAGTAATAAAAGAAAAAAAATTCTGTTATTTAAAATTTTCAAATACATACAAGCAGCGTGTTTATAAAAAGGGACGATTGGTGGAAACCGCCTTAAACGTAGTTGTCCCCTATATAGAAGAATCCTTCGATAGCAAACTGTATGTATTGACATCGAAGTCGCATTCAATAACATGCTCCCTAACTAGATCAAATATATGCAAACGAACAGATGGATAAGCTGCGAGATGTTCGATGTAACTATTAGGAAAAGAGAATTTAGCGGTACACCGCAATGTTTCATTTTGCCTCCTTTACCACGAATAATAGCCTCCCAAGGATCCTAACCGAGAAAGGACCTTTTGCTATTCAGACGATGTCGTAATACTCTTAAGGGGAAAGTATCCAAATTACTTGTGTAAAAGAGCTGAAGACGCTCTGAATACGGCCTTGAGCTGGGCCCAACCGAGAGGCCTCAAAATTAACCTGGAAAATACGGAAATCTGTCTTTTCACAAGAAAGACAAACATTTCTAAGTATATAGTAATACTTTTAAGGAAAAAGGATCCAAATTGCTTCTGAAAAAGAGCTGAAGAGGCTCTGAATACGGCCTTGTGCCGGAATCAACCGAGAGGCAAATACGGAAATCTAGATATTCCACCCATTGAAACATAAATAAGATATGAAGCGACACTTACAGCCGACCGGCTCATAACTTTAAGCGAACTGGTCAAAAGCGATTATAGGACACGTCACATTAAACATATTGGAAGACTATACACAATCATCGAATGCGCCCGATCGCTTACCAGACAGAATATGTCGGAAACTTTTAAGCACTGATCCCAGATATAATGTCTTCGTCAAGCGCAACATTAGAGCAAATACCTGTAGGCATACGTTTCTACACGAATATATACCACCGTTTACCTCTTAATCACCGTTTATATGTATACCACCGTTTACCTCCTAATCACAGCACTAGATTCCAAGCAAAAGTCTGAGCAAAAAGGAATCCGTAAATTGGATTGGAATAAATGTGGCGCCCACAGGTCTTAACATATTTACCAACAGTCAGGAGGCAATTAGGATGATATCAGATGCTAAAGTTAAATCTAAGACCGTATTTGATTATAAAAAAATTCTAAGCGAATAATCTCCCACTTGGGAGTAATCGGCATCGAAAGGGAGAATACTTTAGTTTTAAAAGGTTGGGAGCTCGATGTAGTATGATGGTACATATTCTGAGTGGACACATAGGATTACGGGCACAGCTATACCAAACTCTGTGCGGTGAAACTCTGTAGCATTTTCTTTGTCATTATCAAGCTTTTGCCGATATTAGATCCAAATATATTGGGGGTGATATTATTCCGGATATAACATACCTGAAGAATACATTCAGTGAATACGATATTAGGTTTTTGTTTTTATCAACAAATATTTTCCATGAAAAAGAACGCACAACAGGCCCGATAGTGGCCTAGGTGCATCATTCTATCAAGTTGATAGTATCAACCTAACCTAAAATTTTCCAAAACCGAAGGGTGTCCATTACAAAGGGACCTAATTGGATCCAAGTAAAGCTATACTCTTAATAGTATACAGTCTGCTGAACCTAACCTAAGGGTGTCATGTTTTCTGCATTGTTCGTATAATTTATGACTAAAACGAAAATAATATCTTATACATATAAAGATATTGGCGCTACTGATTCCGCAGAACCATCCAATTTGGCTGCCATTTTAAATTAATAAATTTTATAGACTTGTGGATGCTGTACACGAATTCAGAATTAAGTTCTATGAATCCGATATCAGAACCAAAGTATGTCTTGGATAAGGGTGGAAAATATTAAATAATAATATATTTATTACCATGAAAAGTAATTCTGCTGACGAACCAGAACTGCTGTTATCTTCAATATTTGGATCTTCAACAGTACCACCGTCCGCACACTGACTTGTCATTTTCTCGCGATTTGCTTTCCTTCGACCTGCAGATGCAACATGCAATTCAAGAGTCCTTAGTTTCGACTGTAGATGAGCTATAAGAGCATCTCTTCTCTCTACTTCCATTGCCATGCTGGAGAATTGTGTCTCAAATTTTGAATGAATTTCGTTAATATGCGTCCGTATCACATTGTTGATGCCATTCAAAATTTGATTGTAACAGTCTTGACCCTCAAGCGATCCTAGTGGAAACAAATTAAAAACAATATTAATTAATTAAACTTGTTTAATTTAATATATTTTAATAACTATGGTTAAGTGTGCTCTGAAATATTTAAATTTAAAATAAAAAAAATATAACTCATCGTTGTTCTGCATTCACAAAGCTATAAAAAATTAAAAGCTATTTGAAAAAAAAAAACTATTATTAGTACAAGTGTTGCGAACGATATATCTCAAAATTCAATTAATACATACCTTGTTATTACAAATAAATTAAAAAATTGTGCAGTCAAATTATATTTCTTAGCGAATTTTTAAATAAAAAAAATAATAAATTTGAGTGTATGAAACTCTATATGAAAAAATAATAAAAAAGCAATGCAAAGTTCAGTGTGAACAATACGAGAAATACATTGATGTTTGTAACACCCAAAAATATTTGTCTTACACCCATCTTAAAGTATGTCAGAATAATTTTCTGAGTAGACTAACCATGCTCGTCCGGTTGGTTTTCCAAGTAAAACTTGTGCGCAAGGTACAGGTCGCAAATTGAAAATGGTTAAAATCGGTCCAATATTTAACCTAGTCTAGAAAGAACTAAGAGTCCTAAAATTTTGTCGGAGCAACTTTAGTACCATTACGACAAAAAAACAAAAAGGGCGTGGCACTTTCCATATGAATTAAATACACATATTCGGATATCTGGGAAACAATTAAAGCTAAAAACCTCAATTTTTGCACGAACAACTTTTACATTAATGTAAATATTTGGGGAACAAATTGGCGGATAAGAAATAGGGGGCAGGGCACCACCCATTTGATTCAATTAAAAAATTCGTATATCTGGGAACCATTAAAGATAGAATTCTCAAACTTTGCAACTAATATCCATATGAACAATTTGGGAAAAATGAGCGGAATAGCAATAACGAGCTCAGGACCTCCGATATGAATTAAATACAAAAATGCATCTATCTATTAAACTATTAGAGCTCCAGTAGTGTAAATGATGATCCAATATGAAGTAAATTCAAAATAATCGTATATCTCAGATACTATTAGATTTACAATCTTCAAAAATCGTAAACAGTTATCCTGTTATAGTATTTATATAATTCTAATTAAAATATAATATATAATTTCAAGTATTTAAATTAAAATATTTTCATGCAGATAATTAAGCTGTGATTTGTTGTAATATTAAAATGCATTTTTTCCAGTATTTTTTTATCTCGTGTACTACTATTTTTATATATATCAGCATATTTACATGTTTATATCGACTAATCAAAAATGCATCACTTATTTATGTGTTGTTATTACATATTTTTGTATACGCAAGTATTTTCAATACCGAATGGGAGGGGGAAGTTAGATCGGTAGTAGAACATCCAAGCATCGGCTAATTGTGTGACAATGCAATAAGATATATATCATCGTCTTATAGTTACCTTTTATATTTGGAACATGACATGCGCCATGACTAGTTCCGGAATGCGGGTATAAATCTGTGGGAAACATTGTTAAAGTACTACTACTACTATTCATTTGAAAAGTTTGAGAACAATTTGCAGTTGTACAACAGGTGGCGATCGATTCGGCTCTTAAAAGATCGGGTGGAGACATAACAGATTCCGCATAAAATGGCGGAGCATTGGTAGTAGTGGGTGAGTTAAGACTGTTATCATTTTGATGTTCGTCTTTAGTGTTCTCGGGGTTGGTGATAACGACACTGCCAGGAGGGCTAGAAAGAGTTGAATTGAATGTTACACTCTTGAACAGTTTACTGTGCCTCGCCACGTACCCTTCAACAGTGGGTTCCATCGATAGGCCTCCGCAATTTATTTGCGTTTGTATTTCACCAGTGGTACCTTTGTGCTCTCGTTCATGGCTGATTTTCTTTAGAATGCTCTTCAATTTCCTTCGCTCAAGCGTTTCATTCGATTCCGGACTGAGAGGTGTGTAGTCGTGATGAACCGTATCTAACCGATGATGACGGTGGTAGTGTGGACACTTTGACTTCTCAGATGTGGATGTGTTGGTCGACGTGGTTGAACTGGATTCATATGCTGAGAAAAATTGTGAGTTTATTCCAGTTGCATCACTATGGCAGCGATACAGCGCCTCTGATATCTGGGCACTGTTAGTTTTTGAACTGTCCAAACTAAAACTTCTAGTCTGTAGAGCCTTCTCAAGTTCAGCCAACTTCTGCCGTTCGTTTAAAATCTTTAATCGTTTTACAAACGGTAGCCCGCTGTATTCGGGCGAGAGATCAAATACTGATTGATAAAGTTTTGTCTGATTGGCAACAGCATTCTGTAGTGCTTTTCCACTTTTTAGAGACTTTTTCGCTTTTTCAGTCACACATTGTTTTGTACTACTGCTACTTGATTCAGTCTGATCAAGTGCGGATGACTTTCCTGCCGGAAGAATAATGGGTTTTCCTTTTTTTGAGCGCTTCTCTTCACTTATGACCTGTTGTGGTATGCTTCCCATCGAGTACATTTTCAAAGGCGAAGAGACATCATCTGAAGAGGTATTGGATGTGGCTAAACTTGTATAACTCGAGGAAATTAATGTAGCTAACTTTAGTTTGGACCACGGCTTAATAGGTGTATCAGTATCTGATACAACTGTAGGTGTTGTTGTTGTGGACGGTTTAACAATTTGGTTTGGAATGGTGGTTGTTGGTTTGTGCGATTTATTGTTGGACCCCTCTGATTTGCAATCTACACCTGCTTCCTCTTCGATTTGACCGCATTTTACAACCGATAGAGTTTTTGGTGGTTCCTTTTTTACATTAACACTCGTTGCTGGAGTAGACTTTTCACTCATTGACTCTTTAACTTTAGCAATAGTTTTCGAAGTACTGGTTGATTCATTATCGGGAACCTGCTGTTGTAACTGTTGAATTCTTTGTCGAAAGGAAACCTTCATAGTGGGCTTGATTTGGGTAACTGCAAGTGATATTGGAGTAGTATTGCTGTTGTTATTACTGCTGATATTCGATATGTTTTCTAATTTATTATTAACTTCTGATGTTATGGATGAAATCTATAAGAATATTAAGTAATGAAATAATAATTTAATGTTTAATATTTGCGTAACAAATTTCAAATTTAATATTAAATGAAAATTGTAAATACCGGTAAACTGGAATCATTTACAGGATGGGGAGGATCGTTTTTAATCTTCAACTGCTGCAGTCGCTGAATCAAAGGGAGTCCTTCGTTAATTTCCCTTTCGGGCTCTTCTTGTATTGATTCCTGTGGCGATAACGTACAGGTTACATGTGAGTGAGGTGGAGATTTCTGTGGTGGTGTGGACTTAACAGCTCGCTCTTCGCGATCCTAGTGCAAGACACATAAAGACACATACAAAACTACTTTTAGGAGCGGGGATTGATACAGAAATTATAACTGCGTGACTTTGCAAAAACATAAATAAGCAAAAATAAAAATCCATACTACAAACGTAAAATACAGCAAGCATTGTACTTCTACATATGTAATATATATTAAAAGTGTCATTTATATGTATAAGAAACTTTACAATATCTGAGTTTAATTATGCAGTGTATGAATGTATGTATGTATGTATGTATGTATGTATGTATGTATGTATGTATGTATGTATGTATGTATGTATGTATGTATGTATGTATGTATGTATGTATGTATGTATGTATGTATGTATGTATGTATGTATGTATGTATGTATGTATGTATGTATGTATGTATGTATGTATGTATGTATGTATGTATGTATGTATGTATGTATGTATGTATGTATGTATGTATGTATGTATGTATGTATGTATGTATGTATGTATGTATGTATGTATGTATGTATGTATGTATGTATGTATGTATGTATGTATGTATGTATGTATGTATGTATGTATGTATGTATGTATGTATGTATGTATGTATGTATGTATGTATGTATGTATGTATGTATGTATGTATGTATGTATGTATGTATGTATGTATGTATGTATGTATGTATGTATGTATGTATGTATGTATGTATGTATGTATGTATGTATATATGTAATTTAATTTGATAATATTACACTGTCCAACACTCAAAATTAGACACGAATCAGATGATATATGTAAGTCAGAAAATAGAGATTAAATAATGCAAACTGCGTTCACAGTTTTTATTTCGTGATCCTGTTTCCTTGTAAAGGATTTCAAAACTTCAAAGTGTCACATTTTTAAAAATATGTTTTAAAATACTTCTGCTTACCCTATTTTGCCAAGGTTGGTGTCAAATGACCCAGAAGAGGTGTAAAATATTTTGTTCTATTTATTTTTTTTTTTTTTCTTAAAGGTTCAAAATATGTCAATAATGTCCTTTAAACTTTGTATCCTTTAATATGCTTTCTACATACATAGATAAAACACACAATACAATGAAATACGTATATCCAGTAGTATCCCTGATAGCAATTTTGTAGTCGACTACGAGAAAAATTCACTTCTAGTTTACTTTTGCAGTCTGGCTGCAAGCTAAATACAAAATGCAATGTAAATAACCGACTTTTAGACCGGGTTTTTGAGTTGTCAATCAAATGGCAATTAATAATTAGATTAGTTAATCTAAAAATAAATTTAATCCGATGTTAATACCATTTGATGTTTTTGAGTACAAGATTAAACGTCGCAGTGTTACCATACAAAACAACAGAAAACGTCACTGTTTGTTATCAAAACAATGCATATTTTTTTTTTAAAAAAGAAGAAGACAATTTAAATTTAATATAAAAATTAATGAAAACTTAAATTTAAAAAATGTATTTTGAAGTGTCCGTAATTTATACTAATCAATAAATAGAACATTTTAATGTTTATTTCTATAAAAATTGTATTAATTTTTTAAATGTTTACACATTTTAATTTTTTGCTCAAGTTTAAACAACCTCCATTGGGCGCTTAAACTTGCAAACAAAATTAACTAATTGAGTACTCAAAAACAACTTTCGAGGATTAATTTTAATTTAATCGCTAATCTTTCACCTAAAGATTGGCCCTTAAAGACTAACTACAATCTAACTATCATATAATGCATAAGTACTTAAAAATAATCTGGGGAGAATTTTATTTCAACATGTTTTCTCTTGTTTCTCTATTATTATGAATTTAATTTGTTAACTTTAGCAGACTGACTATAAGCAAACTACAATATAATGCAGAAATGTTCCAAAAACTTTCAAAGACTAGCTAACTAACTTGTAGTGCAGAAGTACCACAAAATCATCTGGAGTGCATTTTGTTTCGTCATGTTTCTTTATTATTTGGAATTTTGTTTTACATTTTTGACATTTTCTTGTATACATTGAGAAATTAGAGTCAGTTTATTTGACAAAAAAATTATAAAAGGTTAAATATTTAAAAACTTGGTCCCTAAATGCTAAATTCTGCTGATTGATACTGTAAATATAATATATTAATAGTTAACATTACACATAACATTTTTAAATTTATTTTAGATTTGGAAATTTGGATCAATGGGAATCATGGAAATAAGTAGGTTAGGTTAGATTAGGTTGATAGGAGGATGTATACTACATCAAATCCGAAGAAATACACCTAGGCCACTATCGGGCCTGTTGTGCGATCCTTATCATGAAAAAAAATTCACTAAATGAATTATTTTTCAGTGTTCAGAAACTCAGTTTCCTGAACGTAATTCCTAAGAATCTTCCAATCAGTGTTAGTCAGGAATGTTATTTCCGGAATAACTAACTTCAGACGTGCTCATTTTGAGAAGATTTTTTGTCTTGCTCTCATCAGGGTCACTCCATAGGATCTTCGTGGTTCTACCCACTGTTTCATTATTCCAAGAGGCCTTATGGGATTCTCTCACCCATATTTTAGTTCAGCTTTTGTTGCGTCGAATGGTTTTGCGTTTGTCAGGTTAACTACATCGAGCTCCCTTCCCTTTAAAGCTATTACATTCGCCCTTTCGTTGCCGATTACTCCCGAGTGGCCTGGTACCCATATGATGTAAACCTTACCTCTGGGAGAGTATTCAGTTAAAGCTTTCTTACAGTCCAATACGGTCTTAGATTTAGTTCTATCACCTGATATCGCCCTAATTGCCTTCTGGCTGTCGGTAAATATATTAAGCGCTGTGGGCGCCATATTTATTCTAATCCAATTTACACATTCCGTTATTGCTCGTACTTCTGCCTGAAAGCTTGTGTTATGATTTGGTAAACGGTGGTATATTTCTGTTTCTTTGTCTTCAATATAGAATCCCAGCCCCACTTTGTCCCCGAATTTAGAGCCATCCGTGTAACAACGGGTTCCTACTGGTATTTGCTCCAATGTTCCGTTTGACCAAGATATTCTATCTGGGATCAGCGCTTCAAAGTTTCCGACATATTCTGTGTCTGGTATACGATCCGGCACGTCCAATGATTGTGTATAACCTTCCAATGTGTCCAGTATACATTGATGACGTGTCCTATAACCGCTTTTGGCCAGTTCTCCTAAAGTAAAGAGCCGTTCGGCTGTAAGCGCCGCTTCATATCTTAAATATGTTTCAATGGGTGGAATATCTAGCAACGTTTCCAGAGCCTTGGTTGAAGTAGTATACATGGCACCACTTATACCCAACCAGCATATACGCTGAACTCCCTGTAGTAGTTTGATATTGCACTTTTTGTCTAAAGCAGTCCACCAGATTATTGAAGCATAAGCTAGAATTGGTCTAATTACACTTTTATAAAGCCAATTTGTCATAGTAGGACTAAGACCCCATTTCATGCCTATAGTTCTCCTACATATCGCCCAGCACCGATGTGCCTTGTTGATCCTATCCCCTATGTGTTGTTTCCATTTTAATTTCCGGTCGGGAATTACACCTAAGTACTTAACTTTGTCTGTCACAGATATCTTCTTGCCCAGGAAGCAAGGTTCAGTATACGTAGAAATTTTTGTTTTTCTTGTGAAAAGACAGATTTCCGTTTTTGCCGGGTTAACGTTGAGGCCTCTCGGTTGAGCCCAGCTAAAGGCCGTATTCAGAGCCTCCTCAGCTCTTCTACACAAGTAATTTGGATCTTTTCCCTTTAAAAGTATTACGACATCGTCTGCATAGCAGACAGGTCTAAGGCCTTTCTCGGTTAGAGTCCTTAGGAGGCTATTAATCGTGGTAACCCAGAGTAAAGGTGACAAAATGCCACCCTGTGGTATACCGTGAAATACCTTTTTCCTGATAGTTATATCGTACATCTCGCAGCTTATCCATCTGTTCTTTAGCATGTGGTTGATCCAGTTACGGAGCACCCGGTCAACATAAAACTGGTCTAGGGATTGGATAAGAGTATCAATGTGCACGTTATTGAAGGCGCCTTCGATGTCAATGCATACTGCCAGTGTATACAGTTTGCTATCAAAGGATGCACCTATGTAGTGGACAACTTCGTTTAAAGCGGTTTCCACCGATAGTCCCTTTACATAAGCATGCTGCTTATATTTAAGGTCTTTGTCTGGTATACTGCTTTTAACCATACTATTGACTATCCGTTCCAAGGTTTTAAGTAGGAAGGACGTAAGACTTATCGGTCGATAGGACGTAGGTGTCGCATAGCTAGGTTTTCCTGGTTTGGGTAAAAATGTTACCCTTACATCCTGCCATTTAACTGGGGTATATGTTAATTTCAAGCATGCAGTGAATATTTGTGACAGATGTACGGAAACCAGTCCCGCCTCCATCTGCAAAAGTGCCGGGAAAATGCCATCCGGCCCTGCAGCTTTATAGGGAGCAAAGCTCTTGATTGCCCCTTTAACCATGTCAGTTGTAATAACTATTTCCGTATTAGCCTCCCCTTCCTCCGATATCGGTTCATTTATATTATTCGATATACCGGGTGGGAAATGAGAGTTTATTAGGAGTTTCATTGTCTCCTCCATATCCTCCAGCCTCCTGCCCGTGTCATCCATCATAGATTCCGGCTGAACATGATTTGGATAGGAACTTTTTTATCTTCGATATGTCATTTACGCTATCTACCTGTTCACAGAAAAGTTTCCAGGAGTCTCGTTTGCTTTTCGAACGATTTTCTTATATTCACCAAGTTTAGTACGACACTCCTCCGAGTATGCTGCGGTCTGTTTACGCCGTGCCCCGTTAAATAGTTTGCGAAGAGTCTTTCCAAGGTTCCGGATCTCCCCGGTTACCCAGGGTTTCTCCTGGGCAGATCTCCGCTCTCGCAGAGGACAGCTGTCCTCGAACGATTCAACCAGGGCATTTG